TCGTGGATACTCTTCTGCTTCCCACAGAGACCCTCGCTAGCAGGGCTGAGACGGGCCCGCAATGCGTGGCGTTGACCATGTTCGCAAGAGCAAGCTCAAGATTTGGTATCCTGCCTCAGCTGACTGCTTCCAGATAATCGTGCATAGGCCAAAGGCTGGGGAACAGCTGTTTCTTGTCGGGAAAAGCTCCTACTGCAGCGCCTGCAACCCACAACCTGGCCTGAAGACTGCATAAAGCCTGCGCAGTACGAGTTCGACATGTTCTTGAGCTCTCCAACACTGCAGCAGAAAGCACATGCTTCATTGGATCTGTGCCTATCTACAAAGCCTGATATGCAAGCCTGTCCGCTGTGACACAAAAGATGAGCTTATGGAATAAAAGGCGGTAGCCTTTGGCCCGTGCAGCTGGGTATAGGCGTTCCAAAAGGGAATCTGGGCTGCCCCGCGATGTTCCTCTCCCTCATGCCTCGGTTCCTCGTTAGGTCCGTTAGATCTTTCAAGGCCTCGTTGGTCTCGTCGGCCCTCACTCAGACTCGTACTTGCCGCCGGGGTACGTTTCCTTGTGCCAGCGCGCCGTCAGGCGAGTGTTCCAGATGGCACTGGCGGGCACCTTGCGGTTGATGCTCAAGGGAAGCGTTTCCCCCCGCACACGGCAGCTTCTGTGCCTGCATCATCAAGCCCTTCGAAGCAAGCCTATTTGTGCCCAGCCATCAGCTGCCACCCGCTGAAAAGGCGGCGAAGAAGGCAGAGCAAGACGCGCTGCAAGAAGTTCCTCAACACTTGTGTCAGTCGTTGCCCATCTGACATGCAGGAATTGCGAGTTTCCAGGCGCCCATGTTTCGCAATCAGCAGGTCAGAAATCAGGGGAGGTGTGCTATCGGAGACCGTAGGCTGCAAGACAAGCGGACGGAATCGTGGATACTCTTCTGCTTGCCCCAGGGCTAGCAATACGTGGCATCGTCTTTCTCTTGCAAAGACAGAAGTCGTGGCAATTTTGCATTTGTTCGGGATCAGCGATTGTCCAGGCGAGTTCTTACCTTTAAGTGCTGCCGGGAGGACATGCACGAGCCCCAGAAGCCAGGCTTTCCGCTGGAAGCCCTGACGGCACGCCGCGACTCTTAGGAATGTGTTCAAAGGAACAGGCACGACTGTTCTGCCGTGCCTCCGGTGTTCAGCTTTTCGTGGCTGGGACGCGTAGGCTGTCATGAGTTGGCCGCGGCTGCTCTGCGACTCGGCCATGACAGCTGTTCTGGCGTACGGGCGGGCCCTCTTCTTTGCCAGCTCCGCCCAGCCTCTGATTGTCCGTACTCAAGCCAGGTCTGTCTGCAACCGTATGTTCCTCGAGGCCCGCTGCACGAGCAGAAGGCTGCCCCGGTCGTTTCGGAATCGGCCGGTCCCGACCAGCCCTTCTCGCGAGGAACGTCATGGGAGCCTTCATGCTGAAAACTGTTTTAATGGCAGCTGCAGGCTTGTCAGCCGGCTTCTGAGGGTCACGGCCAGAAGCTGCGGGGCCCAGGCGTGCGTCCTCAGCGCAAGTGCTGCCGTCAGCCCAGCCACGCTGTTTCGTGTTGCTCGGAGGCTTTGCCGTGCGGAAGTCTGAAGCCGCACTGAGCGTTGGCACAGTGTTGCCCTGCACGCGATCGATTTGCGGTGCTGCGTGTCTCCACGTGTCGGGACGCTGGCCGTCGCCGCAGTCTCGTCTTTCCTCCTTCCACATGCATGTGGTTTGACGCCGTGCTCCAACTCCAGTATGTTGCCGCAGCTTTGTCTTGCGAGGGGTGGTCTGTAGGGGATCTCTGAGAAGGTGAACATGCTCGGTGCCGGAAGATTTCCCGTGGTCTCCACGCCCGCAGAATTTCGCGGACGCGGCCAGGCCGTGCGATGACTCGAGCTCGGAGTGCAGGTTGGATGCAGCGCAGTTGCCAGCACTGCTACTGCTGAGCCTGAGCTGCAGGCGGGCGAGTATGGCGAGAGCAGGATTTGCAGCCAAGCACGCTTGCCGTTGTGTCGCCTGGGATTTCTGTCAGCGGCAGAAGAGCAGCAGGAAGCACCCCTGCGCTTTCACTCTTCCCAAGCGAAGGCGATGGAAGCCGCCGCGTCACAGGCGGGAGGTTGTTGGGAGGTTTGTCGCCGCAGCAAAAGGGTTTGTATGATTCTTCGCGGAAGGGTGCAGGTGGCCGGGCGAATCTCGCGCCGGCACTGCACTCTCTGTCTAGAAGGTGGGAGTATCTCCCGAACGAGTCTCCGGCTTTGAGCCTGAGGAGAAGCAGAACAACATGCAGCAAGCAAGGCATCGTAAGCCTTCCGAAGTCTCGCGAGGTTGCGAAGACGAGGCCGGGAAGAGCAAGGCCACAGTTCACCGCATGCCCGGGAGCATTCCTCGGGCAATGGAGCCGGTAGCCGTAGCGCACTGCTCTGAGCCCTGCATGGCTCGCATCGGGCAGACAGCGATGTGGGCCACGGCTTGTGTGCAGCGCGAATGTGCGGGCTATGCTGCAGGCTTAGTGGTTTCGCTGCTGCTTTCCGTCTGCCGAGCCTGCTTGGGCGACCGGCTCGTGTGCCTTCGCCTCTGGCCCTGGGCACTGCGCGAGACTCCGACAGTCTTCGGATCGTGATGCGACGCCGGGGGCCCAGCACTGAAAGTGTTAGCCTCTGCCAGTGGCCCTGATGGTGGGGGACTGTCCCAATCGCGCCCTTCTCAGATGCCGTGCACCGCCTCGGGCTGGGAGTCCTGCGGCAGCATTGACAAGCAAAGGCGCAGTGCGAATCGCAGGAGGCTCAGGACTTCCGTGCAGGCCGTGCAGGCGCCTGCAGCGCAGCTTGCGCTGCCTGCGAAGGCTTCAAAAGTCCCCGCATCGAAGTCGCCAGCTTGCGAGTGTGCTACGAGTTTAACCTTTCGCAAAGGCCTCGTGAAAGAACAGGAATCGCCGCGGTGGCCTCGCAGGGCATGTGCATGCCGCCCCGCCCTGTGTGCGAGTCCGAGTTCGAGAACTTGGCTTCTGTGCCGGGCCGCACGAATCCGCTCACCCAGCATAGCTCTCCATTTTCATGGGGCTGGCAACCGCAGAAACCTCGTCGCCCTTCCTTCTTGCCGCTGTTGGGCCGCCAGGCTTGTGCGTCTGGGGTCCAGGACATTCAGGGCCGGCGTGATCGCACGATGCAGCGCCAATGGCTGCCACGCGGGGCAAACAGCTGTTGCCGAGTTCGCAGACCCGGATTGTCAGGCTTCCGCTGACTGGGATAGTCGGCTGTGAGCATGGCCAACTGTGGCCGCTGGCCGTGCAGAGCACCTGCCCACCCCCAGGCCTCTTCTGAAGCCATTTGCTGTGCATGTGCTCGTGCAAGTATGCCTAAGTTGAAGCAGCAGGTATGATCCCTCGCGTGGCAATGGCCGGGATTGCAAGAGGTCCCCATCCTCAGCAGCATCTTGCTCTAATAGCGGCGTGTTCTGGCGCGCATCCGATCCAGCCATAGGCCGCCCTGTGGCAGCTACAGGGATGACTTCAGATGCCATCCTGCTCTGAGCCGACAAGGGGAACGGCTGTGTTTTGAAACTGTCGCATAGCACGCTGTCGGCGGCCATTTGGTTTGGAGCGACGTGCAATGCACTTCTCTCAGGCGAGGTGCGATGCCGGCAGTGTAACTGCACCGCACGCACATTGCTCGGGGTGCCTTGGTGTGGCGCTCTGGCCCAGCAGCTGGGGCAAGGGCCCGCCGGGCCGGTGCTAGCCTTAGCGCATCCTGCGTGCACCAACGACACAGCGATGTGAGCTGACGGACTGCAGGCGGCTTGGGCCAGGGTCTCTGCGAGCATGATTCGCGGCATGATGCTGGCCACGGCACTGGCATGCAGCAACTCTCGCACAAGGCCTTTTGACCGGTGCCACGTCACTCGACGCCGGCCAGGACAGGAGCCGAAGTGAGCTTTCCCTTCTCTGGCTCCGCTCATCGTTGAATCATGCTTCACGTCGAAGACGGCATGCTGTCGCAGGGCCTCAGACAGCCTGGCCAGCCTGCCTGGCCTGCCTTGACTCTTTCCTGCTTGCACTTCACATGCCATGACCCGACGACCCCAGTTTTGTGATGCCCCCGCCCCCTTACAGCACTTGCCTTCCCATTTGCTCCAGCATTTGCCGTGGCAGTTTTCCAGCACGAGAGTTCGGCCGCTGGTGACTCCACTCAGCCCCCAGCATCGTTGCATGCGAAGACCTGGTTGTTCAGTGTTGGTGATGTCTTGGGCAGCGGCTCCTGTCTTGCTTGCGAGCCGCGACGCCTGGCACGGTCCAACTGCTTAGAGATCGAGTATGAGGCTGGGCTCAGTCGCCCATCCCGCAGCTTGCGGGGACCGGCGCAGCTTCGGGCATCCACACGGGAGAGTGCCAGTTGCAAATGCAGCAGGCAGATCATCTGCGTCGCTACGTGAGGTCGCCAAAGCCGTAGCAACCAGCCAGCGATCTCCGAGTGCATTGCAATAGTAGGGCTTTCTGGAAGCACGACTTCTCGGATGTCGTTGCCAGGTCCCGGGACAAGTACACGCATTCCGGTCTACGACACTGCCGTTCTGGAGGGGTTTTTCTGCTGTGGTGCATGAGACGATTGTCAAGCGAAGCCTTCGTCGCAGCGGCTTTGTGTCGGTGCAGCTTGCCTGCGAAGCGTTGTCTCGTGCTCGCCTTGCGTGCCGTCCCGGCTCAGAGCCCCGCAGCGGTGAATCGGTGCCTCTGGCAGTGCAAATGGTCACCGGGATAGTTGGGAGGATGAGCACAGCGGCACACAAGCTCCCCTACCAAGGAGCCCAGCCTACACGTGCCCTTCCTTGCTCCGGAATAGTGCTGCGCATTCACCAAGTCATGGAGACCACCAGCCCCACCATCCTTTCCATGGCTCCAATGTGTGTTTCGGCATGGCCCCACATGCCTTGCCCGGCGCACTCTTGCGGCTTGGGACCCTGTTCTCAGCTGAAGTTTTGGACGCCCGAGCGGATGCGCAAATGAAGCTGTGTCCTATGGCTTCTTGATTGTTGCGAGGAAGCGCGACAAAGTCCCTCCAGCGCCGTGCACGCAGCTGCGCCAGTTGCACCTCTCCTGCATCTCGTCCTGGGATAAGCAGTGCTGCTGCGTGTCCGTGGACGAGGCCTTGTCGCTTCCGGGCTTCTCGGCCGGGTGTGCGACCAGCTGCAGCAGCACCTCTTTCCAAAGCGTGTGAATTGCCTCGGGCTGGGTTGTGGCAGTGGAGAGTGTTGGCTTGATGTTTTTGCTGGGGTACCGGTACCGTAACGACGAGCAAGTCTGCCACACACGCTCAGGCATCGCAGGCCTAGCTGCAGTCCCGGAAACATGCGCTGCACGTGTCAGCCCGGCATCTGCCTTTTGGCCAGCGTTGGATGTTCAGTAGTTCAGTAGTCTCGAACATGCCGTAGAAGAGAATCCCACCGAAGCCGGGGACCGTGCGAGACGCCTCAATGCTCAGGACCTCTCAGTCCAGGCGTCTCCCTCCCGCTTGGTTGTGCGTCGCGGCTTTTCGTGGCGGCTTCGTCATCGGCCTGCTGCTCTGCCTGAGACTTGGCTGAAGGCGTGCCCTCGCCACCCACCTGCTGTCTTCCGCTGCTCCTAGAGCGGAGGGTAGGGCAACTGCAGGTGCTCTTCGTGCTTGCTGCCAGACATTTGCCTCTGCCGCAGGTTCTCAACCCGGAGTTTGTCGTGATACAGAATCTAGCAAGCCTGCGCCGATTTGCGCTTTAAGCCGTGAGCTTGCTCCTTCAGTCATTCCAGACTTTATAATGCCATGTGAGATCCTGTCATCGCCTGTCGTCTGCAATATGTCAGTATCTAGCCTTGCACGTCGTCGACGGAGCTTGAGTTTGAACAGCAACAGATGGATTCAACGGGCAAGTGCCACCTTGCTGCGGGGCCGCGGGTAGCTGCGCACATCTCCTTGCCAGCCAGCCCGATCCACTCCGATTTAACTTGCTGAACCATGCGCCCAGGCCAGCCACACGCGCCTGCTTGATGCTGCAGTGCTCGTAGGCGTAGTTGCAACGGGCGTCCTTTGCGGGCTGCTGCGTGCTGCTGGACGGAAGTAGCAAAGCCTGCCCATCATGTGCCTCTGGGGAAGCCTCCTGTCCAGCGAGTGGCAGGAAGGTTGGACAAGCGCAGGGCAGAGTCCGATGCCGTTGCACGCCGACCCTGACAGTAGTTTCTTCAAGCTGGGACGGGCAGTGATGTCTCTTTGCATCTGTGAATGCGACGGCAGAAGGCTGGAGCAGCGTTCTCGCACGGGCCCTTGCCCCGAAACCTCTGTGGAATCCCTGGAGCTCACTCCTGCGTCTTTGAGCAAGAAAGTGTGGAACTTTCTGACCTGCCAACGCTGGACTCCCCGTGTCAGAGCAACTCCCTCTCCGAGCCGGGTCTAGTCTCCGCAGCTGCAGGTGTGTGTGGTGTGTGCACGAGACTTGCCTGTCCGTCCGAGTGCATCGCTTTGCAGGGCCCTCCTGGCCAGTGTCTCGTCGTAACCAGCCCTTGGCTGGTGCAAACCCGTACGGGGGAATCACGGGCCAACGCCGAGGCCATCAGAGTGTGAAAGATGTGAAAGAAAGGACAGATTCACGGGTATTTTTGAGGAAAGACTTCACCGCTTCATGCCTCTGTTCGCTTGTATCTGCGTCTCCGGTTCGACACCGACCACGGCAGAGCAGGAGTTGAAGCTCGCAAAGCCTGGCGCCCGAAACATCGTGAATTTGGCGTGACCGACATGCACGACCCAAGCAGAGACGACGCTCCCTGGATTCAATAACACTCCTATTTGCTGAGAAGGACTGTTTGCTGGGGGCCACCGCTTTGCAGCAGCGAAACTGATGATGGCGAGGGACCCTCGACAATTGTCGCTCGTCCGGGGGGTTGAGGCACGCGGCTTAGCTGGGCAACGCGTTGTAAGGCAGGGCAGTAAGGCGTCTTGTGTTTTCTTTGCCAAAACCGTTGCTTGTCGCTGCGGTGACTGTGGTGCCTTTTGATGGAACGTGGGAGGGGTACGCCGGGTGTTTTAGAGCTGCTGGCAATCTTCTCTTCAACCGCATGGGACATTTCGCCAGCTAGAAAAGAAGATCAAGTCGCCGCTGCTCGCAGGCTTTCCGAAATGCACGTCCTCGTAGGGTGTCGTGTCTACTCCCCTAGGATTTTGCGTGCTCGATTTGCAGGTTGTCTCGCTCTGATTCCGCACGGTGGGGTGCAGCGGCACCGCAGAACCCTCGTGCCTTCTTTGCGAATGCGAGTGAGGCGCGACGTCCGTCTCATCTTGGCATCGAGTCTCAGATTTGAGAGATTCGGCGGGGCCTGGGCTTAGATGTGTCAATGCAGGCATTGGTCTGCCGGCCGAGCAGGGGCTGGCGAGTCTTGCTGCCAAGCACGCTGTCAGGAGATCAGCGGGAGCGAAGGCATGCACATGAGAAAGGGCCGCAGAGAAGCATCACCAGCTACCGTTCCCAGAGCCTCGGGTGTGCCTGTGCTTGGGTCCCGGGTCCCATCCTTTCAATCACTTAGACAGCCTTCGCATCTCACCGTCCAGGCGTGCGTCGCAACAATCGCAACCGCACATCTCGGAAACACGCCGGCAGAGAGAGCTTGTCGTCACCTGTGCCCGGAGTGGAGCAATGGTCAGCAGAGTTGTTGGGGAATGGCTCAGCAGACCCGGCTGAAGCTCCCCGGCTTCGCGCTCGCACCACTTGCACCGCAGGTTTGCAGTCATTACAGATGCACGCTTGCTGCTCCTGGCCACGCCACAAAACTCCATCCATCAGGTCCGCTGAGTGACGCGGCTGTCGTCACGTTCCGTCCGAAACTTTGACCACGATGAGTGGGTGTATGTCAGCATGTTATCAGGCTGAGAGACCGGCAGCCTAGGCAAAGCCGACGAGACATCAGCCACTGGCCGCACATGACACCGGCTCTTTGCACGCGTGGGAAGTCAGACGCAACTGCGTCACGCCTTGCCTGGATGCAGTCCAGGCCTCCTCTCAGCTTCCGTCACACGCCTCGAGTTTCCTCCTGCGGACCACATGCTGCAGCTCTGGCCACAAGGCTGCAGACGGGCTGCTCATCGACATCATCCTTTGGAAAGATGTGAGACACGCAAATACGTCTGCTGGACGACTGCCGGAGAATGAAGCTGCGCTGGCCCAGGCAGCACGAGTGCCTGCCCACCGTTTGAGACAGTGCCCCCCTCAGGTCGTTCCCTCGTCGAAGGATCTGGTGCAGTGGGGCTAAGGTTCCCAGCTCGTCCGCGCATCTCTCCGATGCCACGCCTTGCAGTCTGCATTGTGTTGTAACGCAGCCGGACGTGAGCCCGCCGTAGGGAAGAGACTCCAGAACCTAGTGCCTGTGGCAAAAACATGACACATGCTCCTCCGACCAATTCCTTGCCGTTCTCCTGCGGAGCGGAATGTTTCCAGTCGTGTTCGACCGCCTTTACAACATGTTGCCTGCATCGCAGGCATGTTAGAGCAGGCTTGCTTTCTAAGGCCGTGCTGCCAGGCTGATCCCATCCTGGTTTTTGAGCGATGCAGCTGTTGTCACATGCCTTGCGGGGCACGGGTGAGCCAGCGGGAAACCGTGCATTGCGAGGTCAGGTCGGGTGAGCCACAGAGGTGTGCCAGCATGTCACGTCAGATGCAATCCTTCTCAGCAAGAAGCAAACATGATTCCAGGTCCTAAGTTACTGCTGACAGGTCCGCATCTGCAATCGTGCAGTTCGGTTGGAGCATCGACCCGTTGCAAGCCGAGCACCGTGCCTTCAGCAGTAGTGGCTGATGCTCCAGAGCAAGTGAGAGGACCTTTCAGACGCCTGTGAGGCGATGTTCGACAGCACGCACATGCGCACGTGGTGGTCGCAGAAGTTTCCTGCCCCTGCCTCCTGCCCGTTGCTCTAACATTTGCGAACCGCTTCGAGTGATGGGTGCCGTCGAGCCGCTGGGGTCAACAGACCTACACAAATCGCAGAGGCCGCAAGCTGCAGCTCCGGCCGCAAGGCTGCCAGCGTCGTTCTTCTGCAAGATGCCACCACCGTCGTGTGGCTGTGTCTCCAGACACAAGGTCTGCTTGCTCTACCTCCCGCCTCCTACTCGACTATCCAGAGGCCGTTTCCGACAGTAGCAGAGATGGTCGAGGATGCACCTGTCCGCTAGTCGGACACTTTGGCTCGGAAATTTCCAGAAGGCATCATGCGTGGCAGTGCAAGCCGCTTCCGAGAGAAAAGCTGCTTGGTGCAGCTCTAGTCTTCAGGGCTCTTCGTTGCCTCAGACCGTTACCCTTCTGCTGTGGCAAACCTCTGCATGCGGGAGCAGCCGGAGCAGCCCGCAGTTGGGCTTGACTTAGTCTCGGCCTTAGCCGCCTGTGAGCCTTGATTCGACTTCGCGGGCTTCGAGGCTTCCGGCCCTGACGGCTGGGCAAACACAGAACATGGTCATCTGCCAGCTTGCTGCCATGGTGTCGAAGCCTAAGTCCAGCCACACAGAGGTCCAAAGCTTCAGATCTTGCTGCACCACTGCCCAAAGCCAAGGACTCACGCAAATCGCATGCAGCTCTGGAGCTGCCTTAGGCTCAGGCGTCCAAGAACACCGAAACTGATAGAGTCGGCCCTTGTGGTCGCGACTGGAGCAACTGCGAGTCTCCATTCTGTGCAAGTCCGGCCACCTCCCTGAATGTGTCTGCTGTATCCGTGCCTGTCTTCATTGGCTACGTGGCTGCAGAAGCCCGATCTTCAATCATGAAATGACTTCTCGATGGTTTAAGAAATGCACTGATCCAGGCAGCTTTCAGTTTCCCCACTCGTCCAACCTGTGGTTGGTCCTTCGGTTGCCGAAATCTCGCAAAGTTTGTGCTCTTGCTCCGGCGTTTCTTTTGGCCGTTCTTCGAGTTGGACTACCGCAGATGGTCTCTTAGAGACACCGGCTGTGGGAGGGGGTCAGGCAGCCCAGAAGTTCCACACGTTCCGACTGTCTCTTCAGACCTCGTGACGAGGCCTTGGCCATAAAGCCTTGGCACCCCGTAAGCCATCAGTCCTGGGCTTTGGGAGCTTCTCTGAAGCTTTCCTTCTTGGTACCCTGGCAGATCTTCCTGCAGTGATTTGTGCTGGGTAGCCGCATGCCGCCGCCCCGTCACACTGCACTGACGAAGTGCCGACTGCATTGCCCAGTTTCGCTGCGGGTCAGAGCCGCTCCCGCCAAGAGTCCCACCGTCATCACGGCTTGCACCGAGGGTCGTCGCAACACAAGCTGTGCCTCGTCTGCGGCTACCAGGATTCTGGTCCTCTGCTTTCT